AATATGAGCATGATAGTGTAGAATAATCATATCCAAGGACCAGTGGTGAGTTTCAAAAAATTTTGGAACCTCTTCTGTAGGTGTGGCCTGCTTTCTGGGTCTACTGGTGGACCCTCTGATTTGACGAACCGGTTCTTCCAAATAGGTGCAAACTGGTAGGAACCCACCTCTGGTCTAGTGGTTAAAACTCCTCTGCTCACAGTAGAATCCCTTATGCCACCAGGCTCGAAATTTTGGGTTTGGACAACCTGGAACTATGCCGCCTACGGTCTAACCTAAGCACAGTACGCAAAATTGTCTGCTACAATGTCCTGCCTGTCAACAACTTCTTCAGCTTCAACCTCAATAATACATGGGCAAACAATAGATACAAACTCAAGGTGAACAGCTCCAAACTCGATGGCAGAAAATACAACTTCAGCAACAGAGTGGCCAATGACTGGAATGCCCTACCTGACTCTGTTGTTACATCCTCAAACCCACACAGCTTCAAACAGTCTACCATGGACCTCACCCCATTCCTTAAAGGTCCGTAATGGGGGCGTGCATAAGCATACCAGCGTGCCTTCCGTCCCTGTCCTACTGTCCCCATTTATTTCTACTCATTTTCCTTGTTCAGGTCCATGTTTATACTTATATCTATTATCTTGTACATGTTTGAATAAACAAACAAACAAACAAATAAATAAAGCAAGCAAGCTCCAGGCTGGAGACCAGAAGACTGTAAGTAACATTCCCGCCTTAGGCATGACAGCTGACTTCGGGCCACTTATGTCAGGTTATAATATAAGGTTTAGTTGATGAGCTAGTCAGTCAATTCCTGTTGAAACTAACAGATCAATATTTGATTGATCTCAAAAAATGGGCAGCCTGCACTTGTGAACAAATGCTAGGAAAGAAAAAAAACATTTTAATAAAAGAAAATAGTCTTACATGGCATCTTTGCCTAGCACGGAAAAATATTGATTAGCCTTTGTGAATTTCCTTGATGACAAATTTCCAGGGGTGTGATACCATGTATGTTCTGTCACATAAATATCAACTCATACAACAGAAACACCTGGAAGAAGTCATCAGCAGGTGTCTATAGTATAGGCCCAAGCACGTGTTGGAGAAGCCAGTATTTATGAAGTGACTGACATCCAGGAGATTTAAGATATTGCAAATATCCTGGCACCTTAAACTGCATTAAGCAGAAAGTTGAGCCTTTGAATAAGAAGACAACCTTTTCTCAATAACTGGTATCAGTTCATATTCCAGGTGCTGCCTTATCTACTAAATGTTCTGCTATCAAGAAAGCCCACTGGTAAGCTAGTTGAGATACTTGGTGACATGATGTTAAATTCCTAGCTGGCACAAAAATCATACCCAAAGAGTATTCCTAATGAAAATGGATCAGTGCAGATAGTCAGGGAATTAGAAACTAAATCTTATCAGGCAGTGGCGGGTTGCAGGTGGTACGCCCGGAGCACTGGGTACTGTTCCGGTACAGTGCTCCAGAGGGAACACCCGCCCACCCGCGTTCCTTACCTGTCTTTAAAGTCTTCGGCACAGTGCGTACAGCTGGAGCATCGCGGAGGCTTGCGGAGATGTCGCAGGACGGTAAGACGCATGCGTGTGGTGTGCACATGTGCAAGCCCCACGCATGTTCGTGAAGAGGACGCTGGGCCCCGTTGCAACTGTACCGGTTGCAATGGGATCCGGAACCCACCACTGCTATGAAAAGAAGTTACAACAACTAAAAATATTTAACTTTGAGAAGAAAAGTGATAGAAGCACATTTATTTCCTTTACCTTGATGCGAATTTCACGTGCTTTTGGTGGAGCCACTTCTATTTCCACAATACTAAATGGTTCTTTAGGTTTCCAGAGTATTGCTGCCTTGCATTTGATTACCTGAGAAAATGGAAGCAAGAGATGGTTTATTCTAAGAGAAGACACCCATTAATTCATTGATTAATCAGGTATTTATAGGAAAGCCTACTCTTCTGGCATCTGAAATTCCTTCCTTCCTAGCTGTCAGTTGAGCTTAATTTTGACCAACCAAGTTCTCTCTCTGACAACCCCTTTCCCTACAATCAGACATGCTACAGAGTAATCCATGTTAACATTTTGTAGTTCCTCAACTTCTTTCCTGTTCCATGTATTGGCAAGCCATTGAAATGTTCCTTGTTTAATTAATTTGAATGGGATTGATTTACTTTAAAAAGAAAAACCAGGAACCAAAAGACTCAGCTTAAGTCCACCAAATATAAATGGGCATGTGAGATTTGTATTTGTTGAACGGACTCTCACCTCCAACACCACCTCTGTGCTACAGACGGAATAAACTTTGGGAATTACAGATTTACAGATTAACAGAGTTGGAAGGGGCCTCGGATGTCATCTCCCCCCAAGCAAAAGACTCTACACCACTTCTGACAAATGGCAGTCCAATCTCTTCTTTTTTATTTTATTTTATTTNACACAACTCTCACAATGCTTCGCTGAATGTACTCGCTCTCCCAACGGGGAGCTTACCTAATACTACCCAGTTCCAACAACCTGGAAAAGTTGGGAAACAGCTCCAGGGTATCTATCCACCTCCAAGCAGGAGAACATTTAACCTTTTTCACCGCTAGTTCTTTGGTAAGGATACCATTTGGTAAGACACAATTATGGCCCTTTGTACTTGGGCTGCTACAAACATTCCAGTATCATAGCTTCCTATTTTAGGATTGGCCCAGGATGGAATAGGAATTCTTCATGCATGAAGCTGCTTTATCTCAGTCTAGCAGGAGAAGAAGCCAAGATGCCAGTAAGGCAACTCATTTTCCCCCTAGTTGACCAGGGTATCAGGCGGAATAGTAGAGGGTCCAATTTCATATAGTTCACGTCACAGGTACTGACAGATGCCAGGTATGCACTAAAGAGTTAGTCACCTATGATTCTCCTCTTGAGTGAATTTACACTATAGGCTAGCCCGCAAAGGGGTTGTGCGACGTGTAACATAATCATCCTTTCCTTGAATTAATTTCAAAAGAAACTAATTCTGGTAACCTCTGTAGATGTAGCTAGACAACAACAGCATCCATGTAATCCTCAAGTTACGATCAGAATTTGGGTCAGAAGTTCTGTGGCTCAGCAAGGTGGTTGTTAAGTGAGCCTGGCCTGATTTTACAACCTTTTTTTTGCCACCGTTCTTAAGTGAATAACTGAAGTGGTTAAATGAATCTTGAAATTGCTAAACAAATTGGGTGTCAGGGTTTCAAGTAACACCCCCAGCGAAAGAAGACTCCAAAGTTTGAAGTTTCTCAAAGTTCCATTTTATTAGAGATGTCATATTGGCACATCTGGGAAAATCCAACTCTGAAAGCTTCCAAGTTTTCCCCACCCAAAAGAAAGTCAAAGACCCATCCCTTGCACCCACAAATCCATCACATGGTCCAATCTATTCACCGTCTCAACTGCACACAGCCCCCAATCGCTCTCATCCAGGTGCAGGCTGAATGCCCTTACACCAGGAATGAGTTCCTGCCAGTTCTAACCTCTTCTATAGAAGAGGTTCCACAAATCTCCAGTGCCGTTTAGAACCGGTTCCAGCTCCCTCCCTCCGCCCGTCCGCACATCATCAAGATGAAGAGCGAGAGGAGGAATTCTGGGAGTTGAAGTCNACAAAGGAGGCCACACCCACAGAGTAGGTTCGAACAATTTTTGAAACCCACCACTGCCGTCGATGTTTTGTTCCTGACTCCTGGACCATAAAATAAAACTCCCCCTCCCCCAAACAACATCCTTTACTACAGGTTTAGTGGCGAAATTATTCCAACAGAGTCTGATTGACGGTCAGAAATATACCCCAGTCCTTTGAAGATCTGGGACCGCCAAAGGTTATGACTCTAAGCGAAAGCCCACTTGATGTCTCCCTGGAATAGAAAACCCAGTTTATTTATGGAAATGAATGTTATTTAATACCCGTTTATCTCTCTTCTTCTCCTCCAAACATCTAATGAAAGCTGAAGCAGGCAAGAGGAAAAAAAGTGAATCTAAAACCTTCAGATCTGCTTCTCTGATGCTTCGTTATAATCCTTCATTGGAAGTGACACTTTGATAGCTGCAGTTTTTCTAGGAAGTGACCTTCAGGGCTGTCCATTGATTCCCAGTGGCTATCAAC